TATAATATTTATGGGACAATAGTTCATATTTCTGGAACAATATAAATAATATTCGAATGAAATATTATATGAAACATCAATGATTTTTATGTATAAAACAATATCATTAGTATATGAAACAATACATATATTTTATGGAACATAAGTAGTATAAAATGAAACATAAGGTATGTTTTTTGAAACATCAATAAGGTATAAGAAATCACAATAAACCTAGTTCATATAGAGCCCAACTATATGAAACAAGCAATAATATATATGAAACATTAATATTATAAATTGAAACACTTGATATATTTTACGAAACATCATTAACGTACACCAACTACACTTAATGGATGGCTGAGATTAATTATCAATTTCCCATGCATTTTCTTGGGAACACGCATTTCAGTCATTGGTACATGCTTTTTAATTTTCTTGGGAACATGCATTTCAGTCATTGATACATTTCACACATATGGTATGGAACAATGTATAATATTTATGAGACAATAGTTCAAATTTCTGGAACAATATAAATAATATTCGAATAAAATATTGTATGAAACATCAATGATTTTTATGTATAAAACAATATCATTAGTATATGAAACAACACATATATTTTATGGAACATAAGCACTATAAAATGAAACATAAGGTATATTTTTTGAAACATCAGATAAGGTATAAGAAATCACAGTACACCTAGTTCATATAGAGCCCAACTGTATGAAACAAACAATAATATATATGAAACATTAATATTATAAATTGAAACACTTGATATATTTTACGAAACATCATTAACGACGTACACTTCAACTACATTTTAACGTAACGTGTTTCAATGCAATAAATAATAAAAAGCATGTAATAATGACAGCTTCTGGCAGATTTTGTGTCCCAATGCACAAAAATTAAAAAAAAATACAAACAATCATTACAATTAATGAAGGTGGCCCACGTGAATTTCCACTAATGAAACAATAAATCTGAACCATTCATCTAATAAAAATGAATGGTGTTAGATGAGTTCTCATTTTAAAATGGTTCTCACCTAAGCCATGAGTTCTCACATGATCCCATTTCTATATATATATATATATATATATATATATATATATATATATATATATATATATATATATATATATATATATATATATATATATATAATATATATATATATATAATACCACTTCTTTTCACTTTAGTTGCAAAAGCTTAACTAAAAGTGTGAGGACTTTTATCGGGGTAAAAGCGAATATAATGGAAAAGGTAGATAAAAGATTACCGTAATAACGAAGTTATAACCCAAGGTCAAAATAGTTTGCAAGAAGGCTACTCTTCTCCGTATGAAATCCAAATAGTTAGGAGTCATGAAGTTAGCTTGATGAGCCAATGCCGATGATGCATTTGATCTTAGGAGATAGCAATGGGAGACAAGCGTCTGGCACCGAGTATAGGCGTTGTCGTCGATAGCCACAACCAGCAAATGGTTGAGAAGGTAAGCTGTATTGTTGCCAATTCTGAAACTCTCTAGGAAGATTTCAAATATTGAGTCTGGTGCTGCCCATGCCTCGTTCAAATGTGCCAAGATCACTGTTTTATCCTTCATTGTTGCCGCCTTTAGAAGATTTCTTAGCTCATAGTACTCATCATGGACCTTAAATTTCAGCAGATCATTATTATTAATGAAATACAGTACATAGCACTAATAATAAAATTAATTGATGAAATTGATTGAACAATGATTCGTAACAATAAATTATTGTACATGTATACGAAGTACAAATTAAAGTATACATGAACTAGACCGCTGATTAAGATTAGACAATATACGAAGTACAAATTAAAGTATATACACATCCCAGAGTATAATTTAATATTTCATCGCGCAAAATTAATTTCAAGCACAAGCAAAGAAGAAATTAGACACAAAAATCAATCACTTACGAGTTCACTTCCAGGTGGTGGTATGAACGATTCATCGTAACCCTCAATATATATAAATCGGCTAATATTGATGTACGGATCATAAGTGTACAACATTAGAAATGAAATTGTACATATTGAGAATAACATCACTACTTCTACTATTTTAACACAATTTTTTGAATAATTATTGGTATTATTCATTTTGGCAGAGCTGCAAAAACAGCAATAAGATCCAAGGCTCAGTTGAGCAGCTTAGGGGAAAAATCCGGATATATGAGTGTGGTCCTTTCAATTGTGCCTTGAGATCCAAGAAGATTGGTGAATGGAAATCAAACAAGATTGGTGAAGGTTTGATTTGATATGAACATATCTATCTCTCGATTTACATCCAATTTTGAGAAGATTCAAGTTAGAACTTTAAAATTAAAAAAAGATATAAAAAAAAAAACAAAACAAAAAAAACCCTTATAGCTCTTCTAAGGCCCTGTTCACTACGTACATCTTATATTTGTTAAACTTAAATTATTTTTACTAGACTGAAATTATTTTTACTATTCTCTAATATATTTCTTCTTTAAAGTCAATGATTTCTACTGAACTGAAATTATTTTCACTAAACTGAATTTATTACATTTTTATTGAATTGAAATTATTTTTACTGAATAGTACTGTATTATTTTAAGGTAAAGTGAACAGAGGCTCGTCATAAACCCATTTTATATTACAAAAAACAAATAATGACTATTTTAATTAAATTAAGAAGATCTTTGAAAAAGAAAATTTTCTAGCGTATCTATTTGACTGATTATTCTCCATTGCACTTCTTGTTTCCGATTTTGAATATCCAGTTTCTTATATATTCTCGTGATTTGCTCATATATATATCTATATATCTATATATATATATATATATATATATATATATATATATATATATATATATATATATATATATATGAATGACACCTAATAAGAGGTTATTTGTTCAATTTATTATGGCGTCAAATTAAGAAGGTTATTAAATAATTACATGTATATTTTATAAAATTGTATATTTTATAAAATTATAAGGCCTTGTTCACTTCACCTTAAAAAAAAATATTTAGTAAAAATAATTTCAGTTAGTGAAAATAAGTTCAATTCAATTCAGTAAAAATAATTAACTTCAAAGAAGAAATATAATAGAAAATTAGTAAAAATAATTTCAGTTCAGTAAAAATAATTTAAATTCAACAAAATAAGGTGAAGTGAAGTAACTATTACTAAAACAAAACATGCTGACATCATTAAGGGACACGTATCAACTTTATATGAAAAATTTTCCCATCAAAACTATTTTTGACATCATCATTTTTTTTTCTCTAGTTTTTTCCTCCTAAGTCTAAAACTAAACAAATATGAATATTTCTTTCAATATTAATTAATGAGATTATGATTGCACATTTTCGAATAAAGATCTAATGTTGACTACTGCTTTAAACAAATAATATCTATTTAATAGAGATTAAACTAGTTTTTGCTGAATTGAAATTTAATTTACTGAACTGAAATAATATTTGCTGAACTTAAATTATTTTTACTGAACTGAAATTATATTTACTGAACTGAAATTATTTAACAGATTTTCTATTATGTTTTTTTTTGTAAAGTTATTGTCTTTTACTAAACTGAAATTATTTTTACTGAACTGAACTTATTTTTACTGAAGTGGAATTATTTTAACTGAATTGAACTTATTTTTCATATTATTTTAAGGTGAATTGAACAAGACATAAAAGTAAAAAAAAAAAATAAAAAAAATAGTATAATAACATCAATTTATTTTGTACTAATTTTTTTTTCTTTGTCTCATTACTTACCTCATTTGACTATCATATATTCACATGATGATAGATTTTTGAATTAAATGGGACAACTAATTAAAATGACACAAATTATTATATGTGTGGCCAGTCATCAAGGGAATTATCTCATTATTAGTGGTATAAAGGTTATTCGGTAAGTGTTATTGCTTCATCTTGGGGTTCTTCGGTCAACATTACAGGGGGTTACTGTTATAGGTGTCACTTTATTCTTTTACAAGCGGTCACATGGTGTGCCAGCTACACATAAAAACACGATGTTAAAATAAACAGTGAGTATTCAAATCAATGCAAATCGGATAACTTAACTTGAGCAAGGAACGAATGAAAAAGGCCTTGTTCACTTCACCTTATTTTTACTGAACTGATATTATTTTTACTAAATTGAAATTATTTTTATTGATTCCCAATTATATTTCTTCTTTAGAGTTACTGATTTTATTATACTGAACTAAAATTATTTTTATTGAACTAAAATTTAGTTTATTAAACTGAATTTATTTTTTTCTTGTACTTGAAAATATTTTTACCGAATATTTTTTTAAGGTGAACTGAACAGGGCCGAAGCAAACTTAACAGTCATTTGTTATATTTTTGGTGGAGTCAAATTATTAAGTTACCAAATATTTCTATAATAATTAAGCCACCTTTTGAATATATATTAATTTGATGCACACCTAAAATAACTAATAGTATACTTTACTTATATATAGAGAGAGAGAGATAATGTCACCAAGGGAATTGATCAAAGATGGCTCGAGTTGGGTTGTTGGCAATGGGCAAAAAATTCGGATATGGGAAGACTCGTGGGTTCCGAAATGGAAGTGGAAGTGGACTGCCTGAATTTGGTAGCTCTAATTCGTGGCAATTCACAGGAGATTTCTGAAACTCAGATTATAGTGAATGATATATGCAATTGTAGTAGGACTTTTAATGTTTGTTTGTTTTCGTATGTTAGTAGAAACTGTAATAAAGCAGCTCATTCCATGGCTAAATGCGCTCTTCACTTTGAGGAGTGTCTCATTTGGATGGAGGACTGCCCATCTGATGTTCTTTCCTCTGTCTCGTTGGACAGAGAAGCTATTTAATGATATCTTGCGGCGTTTGTCAAAAAAAAAAAAAAAAAAAAAATTAGAGATAATGAGTAATTGTTTTTGAAATCTAAAACATACGTTACGTGCATTTAAATTTATTATATATTATTGAAATGGTACGAATGACATAATATTTTTGATATCATCATAGTTAACTTTGAACAACTATAATTTTATAACTACAACTTATCTATCATTTTGTTACAATTGTAAGATTCAAGAAGTAAAAAAAATTTATAATTGATACAATAACAACTCACTTCACTCAGCTGAAGGAAGAAAAGAAAAACATGTACACGAACCTATAATCAAATTCAAGGCTATAAAAAAAAATCCAATTAGTCAACATGGAAATACTTCACATATGACATTTATGTGGGACCCGCCAATTAGAAGGTTGAAGTGTCATATGATTATTGGACAAATAATTCTTCCAAACCTTAAGTATAGTATTAAGGTCAGCTATTTTGTTATCTAATCCAATGCAACAATTAGAATGCATTGTGCAAACCTTATTAAAATCTCTACTTCTTTCGCAAAACCCACCAAAATAAGTTGTATCCATGAACCTTAGTTTTAATCCTAGTTGCCTTACAAAATCACCACTTTTTATCTTGTTAAAAACATCCTGTTCATGCAAACGAGGGTACGTGTGTCTCGAGGATACCCAAAAATCGTAGAATTTGATGGTACGATTGTTAGACCTTACGAAAACAAATCCATTGTTGGGAGCATTGTTTAAGTCGAATTCGTCGCCATTAAAGTGATCACACGAGGTTTGAAAGTCTGAATAAGGTGTAAAATGTGGTAATGGATCTCTAAACCACATAACGTCGGTATCCTGTAAAAGAAAACAAAATTAATATGGCATAATTGCTATGCATGTAACATTATTTATCGTGCAACATTTATATATGTTTCAATTTATTGAAAATTGTCACTTGCATACGCACCCAATAGCAAACTAATAAAATTAACACGTGTGTACGCACAAACCACATATAATTGGGATCGCAATATTCTACCAAAATTGCATATATGTTTAATGTGTAGATTAGAATAATTACCGTAAAAACAAAGTTGTAACCCAAGCTTAAAATAGTTCGCAAGAAAGCGAGTCTTCCCCACATCATATCCAAATAGATAGGGGTCATAAACCTAGCTTCATGAGCCATTAAAGATGATTTGTTAGTCTTGAGATAGTAACAATGGAACCCCAACTCATGGCATCGAAAATACGCCTTCTCGTCGACTGCTATAACAACCAAATGATTGAGAAGATAGGCTATATTATTTCCAATTCTAAAACTCTCTAAGAAAAGATCAAATATGGAGTTTGGTTCTGCCCATGCATCATTCAAAGTTGTCAATATCACTGTTTTCTCCTTTGTTGAAGCCGCCTCTAGAACCTTCCTTAACTCATAATACTCGTCTTTGACCTACATGTATAAAATGTATGATTAAAAAATAAGTCCATAGTTTTACTACAATTATCAAAGTTTGTTGTCAATATATGTGTGTTTACTTTTCAAATCTTGTGAAAATAATAAGTGTATCCAATGGTAAATGTTCTAATTTTTTTTATTTAGTCATATGCAAAGTAATTCATTCTACGTATGATACGTACATTGGACCGACGGTCGTTAAATATATATCATGAAATGGACAAATTTGATAGTATGATATACCAATGTTTTACGTAATTTGTATCATACCGTCCTTAAAATTTAAGATCTTGATAATTAATGGTGATGAAAAAGAAATCAAACAATATTTAATCGATTGGAAAAGTAATTTTAAAGTCAAGATTTAAAAGAGTGATCGAGGGATTACCCTGGTGGTTAGAGTTCCCCTCTCGATTCTAGGTGATCTTGAGATCGATCCTCATCACTCACTCTTGTGACTCTCTAAACACCAAAAAAGAAAAACATCGAGATTGAGACTAAGAGTAGAAGCTCACCGTGCCATTATTGTCACCGTAGAAAGAAGAAGATAAGCGCCCCAAACTTGGAACAAACTGCCCATTTTTTTCATTTGAAGAGTAATACAAGACCAAAAATGCAATTCCAAGCGTCGAAAATACCAATAAACTCGTCAAAATTCTTGCAAAATCTAAAGGTTTTGTTGTTGATGATGAATAATTATCATTCTTCATGGCCTCCATCGTCGTAATCTCTCCCATAATTGGGCTACCCTCATCAATAATCTTTCCCTCCTCCATGACTCTTCTTGTAATAAAACTACTAGCTTAGTACAATTCAATTTTATGCCTTCGTTCACTAGATGATTGATTAATTAACACATAACCCTGCCGTGGTTTAATAAATAATACTTTGAGTTAATTAATTATAAGAAGATAAATAAGCTAAGAAAATAATCAATAAAGGATATCATTTAAAACATGCCAAACCATATGAAATATTTGAGAGAGGATACACAAAATTCAAAGTAACGTCAAATAAAGGAATAATAAGTGTATATATAGTATAGTTTTGTAGGTGTTTATGAAAAAGTCTAAGTCTAAAATATTGGTGGTCATATTGGACCAATTTTAGTCTTACAATATTGAACACGTCGTTGTAATGGTTTCCAGATAGATTCTTTTGTTTTTCCTAGTAGCCTTTGCAATATGATTTTCCATTGATTTTTTTAGTCGACTTCATCGTTGTAATTAAAAGATATTCTATACTTTTTTCAATTTTTTTTTTTTTCTTCTGGATGTTCAGAGAGCCATAAGGGTAGATGATGAGAATCGATCCCAAAATCTCTTGGAATTGGGAGGGAAGCTCTAACCACTTGAGTTATCCCTCACTTTCATTTTCAATAATTTAATCACGTTATATAATACACAAAGTATCATTTGTGGCTGGCCACACCGTGTGGCCGGGGTTACTCGATTAGGGGTTACCCAATCAGTGTTTTGGTGTGTGTCAGTTGGTATGGCCAGCTACATAGAAAACACGTTGTGTATTGTATTGGTTTATTTTCTCAAAGTATTAATAAAGTATTGTATTGGACTATTGGTTTATGTGGTAGCGTAATTTGACATACGAAGTATTATGATTTTTGAAGGATTTATAAATTATAATTGAAACGATAACAACAGTAAACTCGTTTTTTTGTTTTTTGTTATATAATTGATGAGAGAGAAAAACAAATTATGCATAAGGTATGAAGATGCATGAGATCAGATTATAGTTATAGAGTATGGAGTACGAAATAATTGAGATCAAATTATATTTATAGAGTATTAAAAAATTTATAGGCTGTTTTTTAGCAGGCATTTGCACTATTCACACACACTCTTTAAGAAAATTTTTGTTATTTACAAAACACATGCATGTGATCATATTTGATTCGTCTTGTATATACTTTCAATTAGTAGTTTTTTGATATCACCTCCAACACTTTGATCGTACAAGGGTTAGGCATGAGGGGGATGGTAAAAAGTTAAAAGGAAGTGTTTGGAAAGAGAGAGTATAAAAGTGATGAGGGATCGGATGACAATGAAAAGAAAAGTGTGTGGAAGTGCACAATGAAAAGGAAATGTGAAATGTAAATTTGTTTGAAAATATATAAAAGAGTGAAGTTAATTTTAATAATTATGTTTGGAAATATTAACGTACATGGTCATACATTGATATTTGGGTATTATTGATAGCCTTAATTTTCTTTTATGGGGTCCATCATCCATTATGCTTATTCCTTTTTTAATAGATGGGATTCATAAAATGACACATCAATTTATTTTGCAACTTGGAGTATGGGGTAGGTAGTGCTATTTCTAATTTTCTAGGCCTACCTCTTGTTATTATGGCTATTAAGTGTTGCCGGTTGGGATACGAATATACGATGCAGATCGATACAGTATGTATCACTTTTACGCCACTTGCATAAATTTTTTACGGGATATATCAAATTTGTAAAGAAAAACAATGTTAAAAGTTTTGAGAATTTTTACAAAGTGTGTAAAAAAAAAAAAAATAATAAAATAAAAAATAAAATAAGGATTACAAGTTTGGAGTGTTTTTTGGATTAAAAGTTGGAAAAATGATTTTTCGTAATTTAATTAAGTGTGAAGTGTTCTGGAGGAAAGGGCAATTATACTTGTAGTTAGTATATTAAGGGACTATCACAATCAAAAGGTTAAGCTTATAGTTGAAGTCCAGGAGTGGTTTATATACTCTATATATCTTTGTTAACAAGTGTAATTTTCTAGAAAATAAATATTTTTTTAATTATATTATAAATTACTTGATATCATATTTACTCACCTTCACAACCCAATTTTAAATTTCGATAGTAGGATGGAAAAAGATAAGGAAGCCAAGAATAAAGAATATAGAACTATAGAGCATTCCACCTAGTCGCTTAAATTAGCTTCAAAGTATAGTTACACATGTTTTTCTTATGAACATTCAAACTTACCAAAATAGGTATTGAAGATTTTCGTCATACATTATTGTCCATCGTTTGGAATCATGAAATTAACATATACAGTCATTCGTCAATATAGTAAACCACCCTTTATTTGTTCTATTCTGTCATTGTGTGCGTGTATGCCATTATTTCTATATATATGCCTTGTACAATACTCCATAAATAATAAACATAATTAAAACTATATATAGAACATCAAGGTTCAAATAACATACAAAAACAAAATTCTTCTTAATTTGGATTTTTCTTGTGAGTTTATCATTACCGTTCAAATAGGCAGAACTTCCAGAGACATAATGATTAGTATTTGCTAATTGAAATCCAATGCAACAATTAATTAACATGTAAAACATATGAAATAAAAAAACTCACCATAATAAAGTAGTCGTTTCCCTTGATTCTTTCATCTGCCTGAGTTTATATATTTATGTGATAATAATGGCTGTTGAGCTCCAACTTCTAGTATATATGGTAAAATATATACACATCTAGAAAGGATAAAATATTTTTGTAGAAAATATGATTCTTATTTGGTTGCCAAATGCCAATAATAGAGTATCTAAATGATTCATTTTATCTGTATTATAAGTATTATTATTCAGCAACTTTGCATGTATGACTACAAATTAAATAATAACCACACTTTCCTCCAATCAATATATATAGCAGATCAGCAGAATTTCTTTGATTATTATTCGTAAGTACGTAGTCACTACAGTACTTTGTTAATGGCTTTCCAATTCCTTGATTGCGTAGTTTATTATTCGAATCATAGATAAGCGTATTCTTATCAACGGTCTTGTTTCAAAGTGAGTGAGAGAGAGTAGTGAAAGCACGTCACTACTCACTAGCTAGTGTAACGTACTACCTCGGCTCCGTAAATAATACTCTCAAAAGGTGCACATAATAATGTGACGGAAGTAGTAAGTTAACAACTTATTATGCTTTTATTGTATGCCAACGGAAGTAAGGTAGAGAGTTACCTGGCTCGGCTCAAGGCTTTCATCAATGAGGGTGCAGTGTGCATATTCTTATCAAGGGTCTTGATTCAGAGTGAGTGAGTGAGTGAGTGTGAGTGAGTGAGTGAGAGAGAGTAGTGAAAGTACATCACTATTCATCACTAGCTAGTGTAACATACTACCTCAGCTCCATTGCATATTATGTGCAAGTTTTGAATTTTTTATATTTCACAAATAATACTCAAAAGTTACACATAATAATATAACAAAGGTAGTAAGTTAATAACTTATTATGCCTTTATTATATGCCAACGGAAGTAAGGTAGAGAGTTACCTGGCTCAAGGCTGCCATCAATGAGGGTGTGCAAAGTGACCAACCGCTTATAGGGGGTCCCTCATTTAAGAGGGTTTCAAAATTCGACATATAATGAAGATTGTGTGTTTATATTAACATTTACATATTATCCTATCTATATCTATGCTTTAGGTAAATTAAATTGTACTAAAAATATTTATTTATATTAATGACATTGATTGATACATTGTTCTATATGTAGCTAACATTTTTATAAGTATGAAGCAATGCATGATCCCTTTGTTTTTTTAAGTGCCATTTTAATTTTCTGCACTATATGAATTCACAAAATTCACTTTAATTAGTCTTAGTGAGGTTCATACATAGGAAAAAATAGTCATATATACACTTATTCAAGATTTGTTGGAATCGTCCTAATGTAGTTTTCGGATAGAAAGTTTAAGTTATTATTATTTATATTTATCGATAATTAAACACAATACATCAATCAATGTTATACATATGTGTCCTGCCAAATTAGGCCACTTATACTCCGTAAAAAACTAAAGTAGTATTTAAATTTTAGCACGGTCCTTCAATATATTTAGGACGCGGATGGACACCACTACCAACCACAGGTCGAGTCCTCCTATTCCCCCTAGATATTGATTCTACTTATTTGACCCTAGTGTGAAAATATATGAGTTGATTTTTACAAAAAATATTACGAGTATAAATTAAACAAAATATTAGGACCACATAATTGGGCCCGTAAACTACAAGTAGTTATCGACTTATTGATGCCCCCGGAACAAACACTAAGAAATAGTGATGGAATTGTTAGATCACTACTAGAAAACATGTAAATTTCATGAGCAATTTCATGAGCGCATTTTAGAGCGATTTTTTGATGAATTTATGCGATTTTTGGGCAATTTTTTTGGTCTATTTTTGTTCCATTTTTATTGTTTTGTTGTTTTCGATTTTAATTTCATTTTATTTCTGTACAATTTTTTTTGCACGATTATTCAGTTCGTTTTTTTGTTTGATTATTCATGTATTCTGATCGAAAATGTATTTGTGGCTAGGAATGTAACAGCATGGTTAGGAACTTGTTTACTAACTACAATATTGTAGATGTCATAGCAGATTCATACTTAGGAAGATATTGGACTATTGTTGTATTCTACACGATTTACTTCATTGTAATTTATGGATTTTCCTTTCATTATGCTCCTTAATTACTTTCTATGCTGATCTTTAATTTTGAATACTTTGGCATCTATTAGTTCTAAACCATAATTAATTTGAATATGTTATCTATTTCTCTTTTGGTTTGCTAATCATCCTGGATATATTAACCTATTGCAATTCTTGCTACCTCTTCAGATCAACTATATAGTTAATATGGTGGTCTTTGATTTTGGTTTAATTAGCAGCATTTGGTTATATTAACAATACTTGTAATTTTACCAAACCGAGTTCTTGGCATTTAACATGCCAAAACCGAGCACTAAAGATAATTGCCTTGTTAAATTTGGGTAATTGACAGTCTTTGGTTGGTGGACTAGTGCTACAAATACTCTGTTTCACATGTTTACATGGCCTTTTACTTTAAGATTTTTTCTGGGAAATCATAGCAGTTTGTTGTGACTCTGGTCATTTTATTTGCTCCGACTTTATTTAACTAATCCTTCAGTTTGATTTATGTTAGTTCTATAGTTCTTACTTAACTACTACAATATTTAATGCATAACTCTAGAATTATTTGTGAGCAATTACTAGTGTTGAAAGATGACATACATATGAAAATTTAGAACATAAGAAAATAATTTTAGAACATAGGAAAATAATTTTAGAACATAAGCCAAAAAAAAAAAAAAAAAAAAAAATTGAACATGAAAAAAAAAAATAGCACATGGAAAAAATTTAGAACATGAGGCAAAAATTTAGAACATAAGAAAAAAAAAATTAGAACATAGGTTAAAAAAATATTTAGAATATAAGCAGAAAAAAATTTAGAACATAATGAGAAAAAAATTAGAACATAGGTTTGGAACATTGAAAAAAAAAAAAAAAAAAAAAAAAAAAAAAAAAAAAAAATTGAATATAACTACATAAGTAGAAAAAATTTGAAACATAGAAAAATATTTGAAACAAGTGCTCATTTTATTTGTTTGGTTGACCATAGTTAGTAAGAGCAAGGGGAGTTAAACTTCACCAAAAATGAACCACTGACTACAAAAACTTTTTCTCTCTCCCTCTCTTCAATTATTTCTTACCACTTTTTTTTTTTCTCTAAATCTCTCTTTAACCCCACATGCACTTATGTACTTTCACCAATTTTCTTAATTTCCATGAAAAAACCCAAATAGACTCTTAAGGGACAGAGGGAATACTTTTTAGTTGGTCCATGCATCTTAAAAGGGATTGATAACAATGTTGTGGTTCATCGATCACCTTGCTAAGATAGTGCATTTCAAATAAAACAAATGAAGGTGAATCCAAATACTGTCCTACAGACTTCTTAATGTCTAGTATAAAAAAATAAATTAATTAATTAAAATTTCGATAAGGATATCTTTATTTATAAATAATTAAAATCCCGAAGTGCTTGGGGTTTATCGAGTTGTTACACATGTAGTAGCCCGTTTCAACGTCCGAGCCCAACAACTCGTTTATTTCTTAAATTGAGAACATATATAATAAATAAAGAACATAAATATCACCATATATAGTTGAAGAAATAACATAGTAGTATGATTTCACATACAGAACGACGCGACCCCGTTAAGCTCCCAAATCAATCATCTCGAGTATTGCAAATTCATCAACATTTTGAGTAGCGGCATTCAGGAAGTGGTCCCAGATAAATGTATATCTCTTACAAAACCAAGTTTTGGACATGTTTAGTAGTGCAATGGCATTAACGTCACGCACAACAGCCCTAAACATAGCACCAGTGTTGCTACTACCGCGAGGATAATTTGCATCAACAACAATATAATCATCGTTAGCAAGCCTCCAAAACATTCCAACGTGACTCGATTTTATGCAAAGTGTACCATCAGGAGCTTCGAACACCTCGTGGGCGACCATAGCATCATCATGATTATCAAATGAAAATTGAAGATACCAAACACCCCTTACCGAGACTGCACCTAAATATTTGCCATTATCTCCCTTTAATGCAACATGCTTGGGTATATTAAACAAGTTTACGAGAGTGAAAACATCATACGAGTCTTCATTAGTCTCATTTGACCCTGCATTTAAGCATGAATCAAAAGAGGCTTCGTCCTTCCACAAGCTTGCATAATGACCGAGTTGGACATGCATAAGTCGCATTTTTTGTGTACCGTCATCATCACTTAGGTATATTGGCTTGAACAATGTACAACTCCAATTGCTTTGATTTTCATCTATGTTGTGGGCTGATGCACTAATCCAATTGTGACTGGGAGACCACCTATAAATAAACAGTCCAGTGTTAACGGAGTTTATCAATAAATAATTGATCATTTTTGTTGACACCGAAATTTTGCTAATTTTGAGGTGTCAAATCATATTATACATCACTAATACATAAAACCGGTCTCGCAGCCAGCCCACGAGACAGTGACATTTGGCATATTATATATCATCTTATATAGTTACATTACTTACATACATACATGCTCCTTTTTTAGAGAATATCAAACTATATCTTTCTCCAAACAAAACTATATCAAGTTGTACATGACTCGAAAATAATGCATCTAAAGAAAACAGAGGAAGTAATATAAGACAAAGCGTAAGTACATACATACTACATCCGTTTTGAATTATTCATAACAATTAGATATTATCTACGTACCAACACTTTATGTTAAATCCTTGCAAATAATTTGAAACAGATGTCTGAAAGAGAAAAAAAAAAAAAAATGCATACCTGACAAAATATTTGTTATTGTAGCGGGATTTGAGATGGACAAGACCATCATAAGTCTTGGATTGCTCAATTTCAAAGTGGGCATATTGATCCATTACCTCATCACCAGCAAACTCAAGAAGGCCATATGTTTGACTATCTATGTCGTTCCTATAGCGTAGGAATTTGCTATTGTAGGCTGATTTCAGACAGACTACCGTTGCTGGTACAGCCATTGGTGGTACAGACGCCATTTTTGTAGTATTATCTTTGAATATTATCTCTCTCTTCCTTATATTACTTTCTCAACTTCTACAAGTGCTAGTATTAATTTTCTTTGCATAGCTTGTTCCAAATTGCCATACTATTTATACCCGCTTTGTATGTACTATGTAATGACGTAGAGCATTTGGACTATTACTCCGTACCAAAATTGCAATTGTCTCCGAGTGGATAAGCTCACATGTTTCACATATTGTTTGAATTGTGAGTTACACGAGTTTTTTTAGCAGGTCTCGGTTCATCTTCTAGATAAACTGGGCATGTTTATCGTTTATCTAGGGGTACTTTGGTCATTTCCTGCTAAAAAGAAGGGGTACTTTCGTTATTTTTTCGTCACATAGAATATTGGCATGTAACTCCCAGATAACATCGTTAGGTAGAATGTAGAAAGGAGTTAACCATAGTTAATTGGGGTCTTACCCGTCTTTGAAATCAGCGAAATCCTTCAACCAGTATTCCACATCTTTGGGTGCACCTACCTCTATGTGCATCCAGGTGTATATAAAAGGTTTGTAAGGACCCAATAATGGTCGAAGACACGTAATATATGAAATAAAAAAGTTTCCTTATAAAAAAATTGTTGCAACTTGCAAGTACTCTTTAGAACGGTAAAAAAGACAAGTGTTGCGGGTATTTAGAAGCTTACAACATTTGATGAAGCAATTAGTGTGTGCCCCGGGCGACGCCCTAGTTTGTGTACTTCTTTAATTTGGCAATTATGTTCAACTGTTTGTATAGTTAGTATGTGGTTCGGGCATAGTCTCAGGTGTCACTTTTTTTTTTTTACCTCATATGTATTTATATTCTAATCTTGTGAAAAATAAATGAATTATATTATCTCTAATTTACTTAATAAATGAAAGGACTACATATATAATATTATGTGAAATTTGAAACATTAATAAGAGTTGGTTCAAAAGATAATTGTATTATCTTTATGTTTCGGAGGTTATGGTTTCAAATCTTTTAGCGGTTCGTGCCAAATAGCGAGTTCAAATCAGTCAATAACTTAATACTAAAACAGACACCATGATTAACACGTGTCACATCCTGGTTCTGTTTTTTTACTCCAAAACTCCCCTTCCTTTTTAGATAAAATAATTTTGTTAAATTTTTGTACAATTCAACTATAATAATTTTATTCCAAATCTTTTATAAATATTATTTTTTATTAGGTATTTTTTATTCTTCCATACACATTTACCTAAAATATTTTCAATTCTTGTATAATTATCTTTTATAGGAGTATTAGATTTTGCCAAAAATTTAATACCCTTTATTACCTTTTTTTCAATATTCATTTACTTAACTTGGACTGTTATTTTTTAGTAAGTATAAAATATCAATTTTATTATAAAAAAAAACGAGACATGCATACAAAATTCACATTAGAATTACCATTACATTAAATAACGTAGTGTAGTGTGGGTCGTTGGAAAAAAAAGACATTTCTATTCATATTATTGATTTGAAATCTTATGAAACAATAAAAATTGAATTAATTTTCTGTAAAATATTAATGTAATTTTACCAACTTCTATATTTTTTTTAAGGTTTTCTTTAAAAAAAATTTCCAAAAAAAAAATGATAACGGCATAGATAAAACTTCGTGAAATGTGAAGTAATAAATACAACAGTAAAAATAACAAAGAAGAAAGAATTTTTAGATTTCCTCAATAATGTGCATGCTCTAATAAAGGGTCTGTTTTTGTTCACATTATTTTCACTTATTTCAGATCTAATAAGTTCATATAAGATCAGATAAGTTAATATAAGTTCAGATAAGTTAAGTTCAGGAAAAATAAGTTATGATAAGAGTTACCAAAGTTCAAATTACGACTAAAATAAGTTCAAATAAGTTAAGTTAAGTTCAGATAAGTTAAGTTAAGTTTAGATTATTTTAGATAAAATAAGATAAGTGAAAATCAGGTGTACCTGAAGTACAAATTGTTGTACAATTAGTTTTATTTATTTATATATATCTAAAATATGAGTTCATACATTAAACTTTTGCTTTGCCTTTTGATATAGATTTATGACAATGTACTTTCTATAGGTTTGATATGTAAGTTTTATCAAATTTTATTTGTTTGATTTTATTATTTTTTTTAAGAAAAATAGGCCTATTGAGTTACTGTACATGGCACGGGGCCTAAGCCATGTAAGAATATTTGTGTGTTTTCAAGACGACAAGGCAAGCAACAGAAACGCAAAGGAGCAGCAAGGCAGACAAACAGTCATCAGTCTCTCTCTCTTCACAATAACCCTGCAATTTGCGCGCGCAAATCAGGTACCTTCAATTTTTCGATTAATTTTGGGTACAACTTTGCATTTTCAACTAATTTCTGCTTAATTCTTCTTTGAATTTTCTGGGTTTTCTCACTCAATTTTTCTTTTGGGGTTTTTCTGGGTTTGTGTTTCTTAAAAGGGTTTCAAGAAAAAACTGCAAAAAAGCTGGAAATTCACATGTACAGGTTAACAATGAAAGCGGTTGTTAGTTCAATGCCGCTGTCACTTCCAAAATGGCGCCCAGTTGTTCTTCTTCTACCTTTTTCACTCCACAGTTGCTCGTCTCTTCGTTCTTCTTCACTCCCAATGTACTCTCTCTCTCTAACTTTTTGATTTTTATAGTCTATATTCTGGGATTTTATGCAAATTATGAAATGGGTAATAATTATTTGTTGGTCTGTTTAGCTTAATTTTGTTGGGTTAATATAAGAGTATTAAGATTGTATGATTATTACAATATCAAATATATGGGGAGTAGGGTAGTGTGTGTGTAAGAATGTTATTTTGTTTGGGAAAATTTTGCACTTGTTTGGCTAAAAATTGAAGTACAGTATTTGTGTTGATACTCGTGTTAAGAGAGTGTTTAGGATTTGTTGTGTTATGAGACTATGAGAGTGTTGCATAGATGTATGTTTCATGTTGGGTTTTTGTTATTGTTATACATTAACTTGTTTTTTTTTTTTGTTTTTTTGAAACCATTATACATTGACTTGTTTACTGTAAAATGGGGATTATTCAAGGCGGAGTTCATAGAATTTAGCTGTTGAGGGAGAGGTGAGTTCTAGTTCCAGTATGAGTATATAAGAATTAGGAGTGTATTATACTATTATTGAGAAATGGATCAAAATGAGCAATGTTTGATTTACTACAATGCTACAGTCCGTGATTTTTTTTTTTGTTTTTGTTTTTGTGTGTGTGTGTGTGGAGAGAGATGACTTAAAAACAAAGTCTTGCAGTCGTTTCCTGACCGGTCTAGAAGTTATTCTACAAAGGAAAGTAGATAGTGTATTTGGGCATTGTAGAATGTTGGGCTTGCAGGTACGAAGAACTTTTTGAGGTAATCAAGATAGGTGGATGGCATAAATAAAGACTACTTAGGTAGGAACTAGGAAGCAATGGTAGTTTTTTGCTGCTAGTTTTTACAGGGATCTTTGATAAGTAAATGTATGATTATTTCGAATGTTGCAACACCTGAGGGTAGTTAACTGGGATGACAATTGGAGATCAGCTGATAAAAAAGTTTGACTGTGGGATCAAATCACCTATAAGCATTTTAAAATAAGATGTACTATTCTAAGTTTGACATCTAACTGTTTGTCATCAAAATTATTTTGTCAAAGGTTCAAATGGGTTATACTCCGCAATTTTTTTGTGCTTTTGTCTTTTTCGACTCATTGTTAAGTTCTTTTTTTTTTTTTTTTTTCTTGTTTTCTTCCTTGACACGAAAAGATGTATGATGACATTTCACTTTTACCTTCTTCCTCTCTCCCCTTCCAAAAAGGAAAAAAAGAAAATTTGATTGGTGCTTTTGCTTACTTGCAGAGGCAGACAGAGTGAAGGAGTGCAATATTACAGAGATAAAGAAGCTCTGAAAGGAACAACTAGGAAAAACAAGAAAGCTAAAGAATGGAAAGATGTTCTGAGTGAAAAGGATAATTCTCATATTTTCTGGTGGAAAGAGGTCCTTAGCTATATGCTTTCTCATTGACATTCATCCCTGCCCATATACATGTCTATGATGTCTACAGTTGTTTACATGTGCACACAAATTTGTATATATCAACACTTTTATGCATTTCTTTATTTATACATAGCTTACGTCTATATTCTTCCGCGTTCCTATGTTGTAGAAATTAGGTGCATGCCGGAAACCTTCAACAGTTCAACTTATTAAGAGACTTGTCTACTCCAACTTGCTTGGGTTGGATGTTAACTTGAAAAATGGAAGGTAAGCTAATATAACTGATTGTTTTTTCAGAATTTTGGCATTTTGGTTGTGTAGTTTTTCTCTGCTTTGTGAAATAAAATTTCTTAGATAAATGCTTTTCTGTTGCTTGTATTAGATGTTGACTGGAAGTTAGGGGGTAAGTTTGGAATAGTAAATTCCATTTTGTTTTGGTTCCACATTTATATTTGCTTTTTTGGTGACTGATTTTTGAATAAATCATATGTAGATCCTTGTCATAAGAGGAATAATGACAAGTTGTTCAGCCTTTATATACTTACATGGAATACTTTTCCTTTATGCAGTTTAAAAGAAGGAAACCTTAACATGGAAATGTTGCAGTTCAAGTCAAGGTTCCCACGTGAAGTTCTGCTATGTAGAGTATGCCTTCATCTGATTTACTGCCCTTGTTGTTATCACACTTAGCTTCAAAATCCTCTGCAGTGGTAGGTTAACTTATGCCTTCTTCCCATTTCCTTTTTTCAGGTTGGGGATTTTTATGAAGCCATTGGTATCGATGCTTGTGTTCTTGTTGAATATGCTGGCTTAAATCCATTTGGTGGCTTGCGAACGGATAGTGTTCCAAGAGCTGGCTGTCCTGTGGTGGTATTGAAATGACTTCTCTTTTTATTCCTGATAATTTCATCATCTCATGCTATGTGGGAGCACATAATATAGCATCTACTTTGTTTTAACTGTTACTATAGTAGCAAGAATGTGAACTAATTTGAAACCTGTCTTTTATTCTAGATACTGTTCAGCTCTTCAGCTTATTCAGTGCTTTGTTAAAAGGAAAGGTCCTCTGTGTCTTTTCC